CGAATGACTGCATTAAGTAAGTGGCGTAGAGTATTGCATGGTGACTTGCGTCCCATTGTAGTGCTTTTGCATCCCGCAAATCTCGAACTTTCTCCGATGGCGACTATTGTAACAACTTCGGAGCTAACACGAACTTTGACGAATAAATTTTTTTCCAATTTGAGATTATCATTTGATTACGTGCCGCCCTCAATTAAGTGGTCGGTTATTATAAGCAAAACAGTTGCGATGTGAAATAATTTCCTGTGACCAAGCCGAAAATGGCAAGCCGCCAGAATAGGTATAAGCAATAGTTATGTTAAATTTGGTAATTTGCTTGCTAAGTAAACTATTATTATTATTATTATTATTAATTTCGCCAGAGAAATAAATTCTAAGACTAAACTCTTAAAAGCACTAGCATCTAAGGCTATCGGCTTTTTATTAAAAACTCTACCGCACTTGAGATTCGAACCCACGACCATTGACTTGCTAGTCGAGATTCAAAGAAATTACAATCCGAGTATACCCGTTATTTATATTAATTTAATCTAATTGATTTTTACCCTCACCCTGGAATAATGGAGATATGTTCCTGCAAAGTTTTTAATGGCCATAAAAGTCCATCGGAGACTTCCCTCTTTCAAAGAAACAACAACAATGGAAAAGCAAAACTTTGGTCCACCAACCATGTGTAACCGGAATTTTTGTGTAAAACCGCATATATGTTAAGGTAAGACTTGACATATATCTGATATTGAATATATTTATGACATATGCTTGTGTACTAGTTTAAGATGATGAAAAAGTCGATCAATGGCAATTATATATAACTTCTTTACATGTTTTAACATCCATGCATTCATTTCGAATAGAAGTGGCTGTAAATCTAAAGTTTGTGGTGTCAGTGAAGATAGAATTCATTCATTGGATTACAGCAAAATTTACAGCTCACTTACAAGCCAAAGGCTAAAAAAGTTCCTTCTTTTAACAGCGCGGATGGACAGCGAGTGTTAGAAGACATATTTTCAATTGATTTTGTCTTGGAAAACGCTTCAACCTTTGCAAAGTTTGCAATATCGATAACCTAATCCTAATCCTGGATCGCCTGACATTAGTAAAACCTGCAATAAGTTTAAAGCAGGAAAATTTGCAACGCGACTGAAATGTTTTCGCAAAAAAGTAGTGCGCATAAAGATTGCGATATTCTTCTTTTCCTTCTTTGCTGAAAGGGCAAGTACCACTTACTTCAACTAGGTTTCTTCTTTTTTTTTTTCTTCTACACATCTTCGATTTACGGACCTTTTAGTGTTTCTAAACGCAAATTTAATCCGTTGCCATTATCAAATCGAAAAACTAGTATCCAAAAGTATTATATTTATTTTCAATAATCCACTTGTGTTTGTTTTATTTTGGATTGTATGGTATTAAAGAAGAACACTACAGTATTTTTACTTCATTTTTATTTGTCTTTATTTATAAAGGATGGAATTAGTTCCAACTCTTTCACATTTGGGTGATAATCGATCAAGATCTATTGTTTACATCATTTTTTTAGCCAAAATACCTTATTAGAGTTAATTATATCCGCTTGTCGCGTACCTCTCTCTCTCTTCTCTCTCATCTCTGATCGCCTATTGTGGGAATATTGAAAGCGAGATGAATTAAGATGGAAATCTGAAATCTCGCACACTTTATTTTATGTAATTCAACGTCTGTGGGCAATCGCAATTTAGATACGTAAAACTTTATTACCATTATGTAGAGATTGCTTTTTTTTACGCAATTCATGAAAAGAATTTTTATACTATTGATGAGACGACAAAACTCGAATTGTAGCGCCTGCAAGCACCTGGCGAAAAAAGTTAATTTTTCTTTCTTTTTTAAAAATTTCATTTAAAAATTGTATAATTTTGTTTACAATGATAGAAACGAAAGAGATTAAAATTGGCAGATTGATTCTCATTTTTGCCAATTATATAAAAGCATAAGAAATTTCTCCAATTGTTTTTTTTCCAATGATGTAGTAATCTGCGCTCCATTATTCGCAGTCGTATTAGATTTGTTATTTTGTTTGTAACGGGCATTCTATTGTTCATTATTTCTACGAAAAGGAATCAAAAACCCAAAAAGAATGCAGCTTCGTACCCTCTTGAAAGTATTTTATAAGTCAATATGAAGAAAGACTAACAAAGTATTTTAAGTAGAACGAGATACTCTGAAAGCCACTCGATTCTCATGGACAGTTTAGGCCAAGCTTAAAAGTCAACGTATAACGATATGAGTAAAGGGAACCTTTCTTATAATCATATATTCATCTAAGCTCTAACAAAATAAAAAAACTACTTTCTCTCATGATAAGGAAGGAGAAAAACTTCGAAGACCTGCAATTACCTGAGGGAAGACGAAGTGGTGTTGTTCTCAAAATTTGCAAAAAAAAGAGTTAAAGGAAAGAAAACTTGTATCTGTTTTTTTCACTAAGTGAATAAGAAGAAAATAAATAATAATCAATGCATAGTAAGAGTCAAAATTTCGTTTGTTTTCCTTTTATATCTGCACGTAGAAAAGTTCATGTTGAAATAGGTCTTTATTTTTGATCTAATTTACTAGAAGATAATTATTATTTATATTCGTCGACAGATATTAGAAATTCGTATAAGCCGAATATTTATTTATTTCTTTTACGTTTTCAAAGAAACAAAAGGACGATCTTATATAAATATATTCTGTTCTTTCTAAAAACTCTAATACTACTCAAAACCAATTGATCCTCCTACTCGTACGAGTACAAATTCAAAGAACAATGGCTACAAATACAAAAAAATAAAAGAAGGATCAGCTTTGTTTCTTCAGCAGCAGGTAGCTGAACTGAAATAATCATGTGAACGAAGGTTATGATGCTGCAGGATACATGATAGAAATTATTGCACAGAAGGAAAATAAATAAAAAAAAAAAAATTTAAAAAAAATGGAAAAAAAAAATGGATGCTTATTCCTTTTTGTTTTTGTGTTTTAACTGACAGACCGAAAATATAATTTCGAACACACCTGGCTGGGTAACAGATTTTCAAAAAAAAAAAAATTCCATGAATGGCAAAATGTATTAATGATGTTTGTGTCTTACACATGACTGCATACGTATATATGTAGGTTGGATGGTTTCTTAGTTATTTCGAACAGTTGAGGTCCTATAGAGCCAATCGTTTAAGCCTTTTTGGCAAAAACTGATCATATTTATTTTCAAAATAAAAATAAAAGAAAGTACATTTAAATTTTAATTGAAAAAATTTTCATAATTTTTAAATTCTTTCATTTCTTACAAAAATATTAAAAGAATTTTTTTTTTTTTTTTTTTTAACACATTTTCTAAGCGCGAACGGTTTTCAAACATACTTATTGTTCGAATACTTAAAGAACTGTTGAATAAGTCTTTGAACATTTGCGAGAGTCATATTATCGCAGCATAAGAATGTCTCTCTGTATATGGCACGCGATCTTTTCGATTTATTCAAAAGTAACAAAGGCTTAGCGATGTTGAAAAACAATCATTGTATAATAAACGAAAAAAAAAAAAAAAAAAGAAAAGAAAATTAAAACAACAGACTTGTCTCAATTCTTTAAGAAATGTTTATTTATTTATTTATCTTTTTTTTTTTTTTTTGTTGCATTTCAATGTTTCTGTTATGTCTCAAGACAAAGTTGCTGGAAGGCACACTATAAATTAGATTTATTGATTAGTTAGTAGCTTTTATACATTTTCTTCATTTCACATTTTTCATATTTTTTCATAGACTTACGATGTACGAACATTGTACCAACTTTTTATATATGACTTCATATTACTAAGGTCATCTGGGTTAGAGTTTATTATTAGAGATCACCTTTTCATATAAGTCATAGAGATAAAATTTTATGCATGTAAACATAACTTAAAGAACATGCTTAGCTTTTGCACGTATGATGCCTAAGGATAAACGAAAAATTCAGGAAGTCACTATTATCAACATCAACAGAAAGAAACTCCTCTCATCGTCAACAGTAACATCATGTATAACTGCAAGCAAACAAATCATTGTTAAAAGGTTTGCCACTAATGGACAAACGGACATACAAACAGACAGATAGAAAAACAGAACATATACATATACAACAACTAATCTTTTTTCTCATTTAGAAAATCATCAAACATTCAAGTATTCCATAGCATTCCGTAGCATGCATAGTAACATAATAATAAAGGAAGGAGTAAAATACGATATTGTAACCACATACACCTAATGCATGTTTCAATGCTTATGCATATCTAATATACATATACATATGCATATATAAAAAATTTACCGAAATTTCACTTCACATATGCCTTTAGGTTATGCATGAAAAGAATCAAGATTTACATAGAGAGTATGATGGCATGTATTTAAATGTACATATAAAGTATTTACCAAATAAGAACTAGTCGGGTATAAGAGTACATTTATATACGTGTAGCCAATTTAAAAAAAAATAAAAAAAAATAAAAAAATGCTTTTTTAATTTATCCACTTGTGCTCACATAACGCAATATATATATATATATATATATATATATTTATATGGAAACTTACATCGGCACGGACAAACTAAGAAATGTTTGTATATGAAGTTGAGTATTTAGGCATGTGATGACATTAGTGTACAGTCAAAGATCACAGAAAATATCTGTACAACTCTTACTATTGCATACTCATAAAAGTTTCTATGCAAATATACACTTATGACCGACCATATGTGAATATGCGAATATGTAAAGTTCTTGCAATGCTTCAGGTTTTTAATGTTGATATTGCGGATTCAACATCTCTTACGTTCCGTCCGTACAGAATGAAGGATTACCATAAAAGAAAAACTAGAAATGAAAGAAATTTAAATTTTAATTTTTAAGTGTTTTGCCTGCAGTAGTTCATATAAATTGTGTGCTTAGACACACACATATGTATATGTATACACATATACATATACATATAAATATATATACATAAATACATGACTTTCTTAAATACATTGGATTTTTGCAAAAGTTCTTGCACAATTTTTATTTATTAGCAAAAGGACGCACTTTCGACTGCGTACTGATATTTCTTTATATAGTAACAACTCAGATTTATCGTAGGTCTTATAGGTCAATTAAATTTAAAAAAAACCATATCGAATTTAATTTATGACGTATCATTCTTCAGAATGGACGAAAATGTCCTTCGTTTCACAATATTAAGTTAATCAACGAGCGAGTTTTGAAAGAGCAACAAAACGTAATCGAGAATTGTGTTCCATTTCTTCCTTGGCTGTGCTCTCATCGTTACATTAATCGCTCCCGTTCTTAATACTCGCATTAATCCATTTAAAAGTGCTGATTTCAATCTAAACGATAAACTTTGCTTCAACGTGGGGTAGTGACTTTAGCCATGATTTAGTGAATAATAACTCACGGATTACTATTAAAGAGATTACCGCAAAACGAAATGTTGATGTTCAACGGAATTTCTGCATTTGAAATAACGTATGCAATGCGACTCATGTCTCCAGACAGGCGAATAAACTGGATAGTGTCTCAATAGCCATTTCCCATAGTCCACGACGCTTCAAATCACAATTGAAAATAAAAAGCTGCCTTACATAGTAAGCTAATAGGCTCCAAGTGACTTAAATGGTTACATGTTTATGAGGGATTGAAGAACAACAAATTTTTACGTGCTTCTACCATGTAACCAAGAAAGAACTGTGGAAAAGTTAATCTTAATATATTAACAACATCGCTAAACATGCAATGCAAATAGTAAAGAAAAAAGTCCGGAGATCCCTTGTGGACCGTTTGGCTGTTTTTCCTCTATCTTGATCTACTACTAGTGGTTTCATTTCTATTTTGATTCTGAACCTTGGTATTATCTAAAAATCATGTCAATACTCATTTTAAATCTGTATGTCACCCTGCGTACTTATTGAGTAATATATTAAATACATATGTACTTGTATATACACATATTTATATACTTTTTCCATATATTTGCATGTATACAGACTAAGGGTTTAGTGGGTAGTAAAATCTTTACTTGCTCGCATCTGTTAGTTTGTGCAACTTTTATTTAGTTTCCTTTTAGGCAGTTGGTTAATCTTTTAAAATTGTGGCCTCCGCAAATAGATGATTTAGTCTTCCTGGTTGCTGTAATGGTCTTGGGTGAGGGTGGGCCGCAACAGCCATGCAAATTAAAATTGCAGCCGGCATCAGTATTCAACCGAATATCCTTTTAGTATCAACAAATTTTTCATCAACACCAACACCGTCATCGTCAACCTTATGGTTTTTGCTGGGCTCGCTCAACAGTCGGCGGCGAGGAAACGGGATAATATGTGTTCGGCTTGGAATAATTTACCACTTGCACAACTTAACCGCTTTTTTCCGTTATGATTTTAATTATTTTTCGCAAACATTTCGGTCTTTGACTTTACAATAAGTCTGAAAGAGAAGAAAACCTTAGAAATTAAACCAAAAACAAAAAAAAAAAAAAATTTGTATTTAAATAAAAAAATAATTCCCGGGTTTTTGATTTAAGAATGTAACGCAGGCACACACAAACAAACACACATATGTATATATATATGGAAGGAAAGGATTGAAGAAGGCGTCCTCTCTATTTGTCATAAATTCGTTTCTTATTACATTCACATAAACAGCTCTCTACTTACATTTATTTAACCGTTACACCCACAATGGTTTCAATTTTTCAAATTTCTAAATAAAAGCAAAACAACAACTATTGCTGTACTTGCGAACATGATTTTATTTCTGTATTCCTTTAAGGTATTTTTTTTTCTTTTTTTTTTTTTTTTTTTTAAATCTGGCAGGTTTCTCACGATTCTCTTTTTTTTTTTTTTTTTTTTTTCTTTTTTTTTTTTTTTTTTTTTTGAAGGTTTTCCTCTTACTCTAACCCTCCTGTAATTATAGGCTACAACTGAAGCATACTCAAGCAGTACTATGCGCAGAAGAAAACATTGCGTATCGTGCTACTCTATCGCAGACGAGATCCCTTCGTAATAAGAGCAAACTACAATTATAGCAACAACTAACACAAGCTCTGCTCTACAATTGCAATTACAATAATAATCATAATAATAATAATAATAATAATAATAATAATAAAAATAAACGAAAACGACCCTTATGATTAAAGACATAATAGCAAATAAAAAGAAGAAAGAAGCAAAGAAGAAAGGAAAGGCGAAAATAAAAAAAAATCTTCATATCGCAGAAAAGTAATCAAAAGCAGTAACAAGCAAGCGTTAACTCTCAGATCTCCAGGTTGTTTGTTGATTGAAATTACTTGTAAAAATCTCAGTTTCCCTTCTAAACCGTATACGTGAGGGTTTCAAACTCAACGAAACACCGAAACACCGACTGTCTAGTTGGTTGGATGACTGGTTCGCTGTGTTCTGGTATGCCAACAAGCCGGAAAACTCTTCTCAAATTTCTTAACTAAAGCAAAAATGTTTTTTTAGATCATATTAAAGCACAGGCACATACACATACATATATGTATACACAAAAGATTTACTCTCCACTATATCGCCGTCAGTTCGGTAGCAGTTCTCACATGAACGCAAGAGGGTTCTCTATGACTGCAATATTCTTTCTTTCCATTGCCGTTTGCTCGGCACGATTCGTATATCATTAATTGCTGGTTCAATCTGTTGTAGCCTGTACATTACCATCACAAATTTTAATGATTATCTCTCCGTTCTTGCGGCCATTATTATATTTCATCATATTTCTTGCTCTGATATTTTGGATTTAAACAAATCTCAATTTCATTCCATTTCATGCTTCACAACTGTGCCGCTTGCAATTAGCTTACGCTTAAAGCAATTTGCTTCCATCCTCATCTAACGGAGAACTTGTACAATAATTATTAGATTTTTGTTTTGTTAAAATATATTTTTTTCTTTCATAAATTTTTTCATCAATTTTTAGAGTAAATTAAGAGAAAAATCGTATTAGATTACTCTGATTATATCACCTCAGGCATTTTTATAAATATTTTACCGCTTACCTTTATCTGTACGGGTACGGTATATAAATATATATGTGTATATATAGAATATATTTATATATATATATATATATATATTGTCTCCATCATCTTACTCAACCAATGACATTAGCAATGATACAACATTCACATAAAATTTTTAAAAGCAAATGTCCGTCAAGTTAAGACTATTATAATATGGCGTCTATCGTCTCAAGTTAAGAAAAAAGAGGAAGAAAATAAATCGTGGATACTTAACAACGACGCGATGAATGAAAGACAAAGACAATATATGTATAAGTTTGCAACATATTTATTTTAGTATGTATGCATGCATAAAAACACATTACCAGCACTACCGCGGCAGCAGCAGATAGCATTAAGTGTATGCTCAGCAAGAGCGCACTGAGAAGAAGAAACTCGCATAACAATAACAACAATAACAAATAGTAAAGGCGCGACTTGGAAATGGAGGCAAGATTGGCAGAAATGTTGCAAACTCTGTTGTGCGCGTCATAGGTAGGTAGGTTTGGTAGCTACATAAGTACATATGTAGGAGGGGGGGGAGAGACGATAGAGTAAATTACACTATACACGCATATCGGCCGAAGACGCGGAGTAAGAGGGACGGTCGCGGATGATAGTGACTAAACAAGCAGAAAAGACAAGAGCGTCTTGAATAAATGGCGTTATTGTTATTGTTGTTGTCTCTTAAACACACGTATGTGTATATATAGGAAAATTAATACAAGCATTATCAAGCGAACCCGAATACATTAAGCCCGTGCATGGTGAGTAAAAAAAAAAAAAAAAATCCTATTAATTTTTTTGCCTTTTTTTTTTTCTACGAACTTGAACACTCCTTTATTTCATCTGATGTTGATCGTTGAATGGCTGGCTGGATGCCAGCCAGACTTTGTCATGACCAATTGATTATGAGAGAGCAATAGTATCTAAACCATATTTTTCCAGTTACCATAAATGTGAAACCTTATGTTTTTCTATGGTTGCTTGTTGTTAGCATGTTGTTGTTGCCGTTATTGTTGTTGATATTAAATTTCAAGTTTTCCACTTTTCACTCTGCTGCTGTTGCTGTTGCTGTGCTTACTCTCCGCTTGGGCCCGTTTTGCTGGCTTGAAGACCAGATGAAATATATCTATATATATATCATATATATATATATATATATATATTTTTATTTTTTTTTTTTTTTTTTGTTGGATGTCTGCTTTGATGCAGTGACCATGTCATTTTCATTTCACGTTCATCGTTCGTTATTTACAAGTTCGGTACGTACTTGATGTAAAAACAACACAGCCTTCATTATCACATGACAAGGCAAACAAGAACTTCGTATACACATAAATAGAGTGAATGATGAAATCAAGGATTGTTGCACGATTTAGTGAAGAGATTACAGAAAAATGTGTTAAGAAGAGCTTACATAGCATGCCAAGTGCATGTAAGAATTTTTTTTCATAAATACATGAATGTTTATACCCATATGCACAAGAAATGTAAAATTTACTTAACACATGTGTTTCAGTTAAACTCTACTTCCGACGAAGGCCATATCTCCTCTCTTAAGTACTTGGACGCCATTACTAAGAGGTTGAAGTAATTGTCTTTGTTTTTATTTTTTTTTTCTTAATCTCATAGACATTATTTTCTTTGAGAATTTAGTTTTGTTATATGTAATGGTTGCTTCCTTTTGCTACTAGCTTCATATGCAAGCCAAGTTCTCTTTCTGATCAAAATGGGATACCACTGCTTAATGAAAACACGAAAACTCCTCTGCACATTTTTACACTGTACCTTTGTGTACGTACAACATTCATTATATAAGCTTACTTGTTGTCTTCGGCTACGTAAAGAAAATGGAAAACGAAAAAAAATGTTACAGAAATATTCCTTAAGGATCGTTTCATATAAGTGCAGCAAATATAGCAAGGCTACCAATGACAACAACAAAAACAATTGCAAATTTAACAGTTGGCTTTTTTGTTTAAGAAGCTCGTTTAATACGATTACTTTGCTTTAATTATTCCATTTATTTATTTTTCCAAAAAAAAAAAATTACATTTCAATTTATGTATGTGTTTAACAAACAAACGATTACGTAGCGCTTTGTTGTTTTTAGTATTGCCACGAGGGAGCGTAAAATAAGAAAAGAAATTTTCGGTCCTGGAGAGAAAAACCTAAAACTATACTCAGTGTTAATATTGATTGCACTTCCGAGGTGCATTCTTTCTGATACACTTTTTATATAAGCTTTACTACCAAGCTATACAAAAACGGTACAAACAAATAAGAAGCGTGCAAAGGATTTTAGAAGAGCTTACGTATCAGACGTAGCCGCAGAACCGTATTGTAAACCTTTTGTATCCAACGACTTAATTGACCAGTGTAAAAAGCGCAATTCTTCTATGCTTAGAGAAATTCATTTTTTTCATATAACCTATCACTTAGGAGATGGTGCCTTCTACGCGTAAAACACGGTCACAGACGGCCAGAATGCAATGAGAAGGAAAAAAAAAGAGATGAAGTGATGGCCGCTTAGTGAATATCTATCCAAGTGGTAGGTCCTAGACCCTTACTGACTGAGAACCACAGGGACAGACATGAAAAAAGCACAAACATATATTTAAGCATTAAAAACTAAAATAATTTTTGGAAATATTGAAATATAGCGATTTGCTAGCATGTTTAGCCTGAGAGCCTGTATAGTAAGCAGTGTAGTTGGTTCAAATTTGAATCTAAAAAGAAAAATTTATTAATCTCGATGTCTGCAGCCACTTAATGAGTGCCGGGGATTTTCAAAATGTTCCAAGATATTTGTGCGATGGGTGAGTATTGGTTCCTTCTTTTTGACCAAGAAAAGGGCAATCCCTTCTTAAGAAGTAATGTATGAATTAACTTGTTGACAATGTTCTACGTGTTTCACTACAGAATGTTTTTTCAAAAATTTTATAAAAAACCCAAAAGAAAAGATTGAAAATTTGTTGGAGTTTTGAAAACTCATCTTACGAAAAAAACGCGTACATAGTTTCAAAAATTCGTATATTGCTATACAATCATGTTCGAGGAATAACATCCTTCGACTATGTAAAACGTCTTGTAATCGTCATATTATGACTTTTGAATATTTCAGAAGTCATTTGAGCCGCTACCGAAAAGAATTGATTTCTGGACAGACGTACAGAGGTTGGCCCATAACCGTTATTGCGGTAAAAAACGAAGTAAGGAAATTAAATTTGCTTATGACGAATTTTTTATACCCGCCGTGGTTAGTTAATACATATGCGATGTATAAAGAAGTTTCAGAGACTTTATTAAGTATGTACATATATAATCTTGAGAGATTAGCTTCAGTAATGCCCTTCTATCGGTGTGTCCTTCTTCACACCTGTGTCGTCTCTAGGTATTAAAAATGGACCAATTTGGTCAATGGGCAGACTTACATGGTAAAATAAACTAGGTACATCTCCGGTGTGTCGCTTTTTAGCTCTAACTTCCGCCTAAACTGCAAAAAAATCATTAACGCCAACGCCATATTACAGAATATCGAAATCTAGTTTTCGGCTTTGTTTAGGATAAAAGAAAGATGAAAGCCGAATACAATTTTCTTAATTGTTGCTTTTCTTTTTAAATTCAAATTTACGTACCGGAGAGCTTCTTAAGCTGTTGTTTACATTATTGCCATTTCGCAACATTTTTTTATTATTATTATTATCATTATTATTACTATTATTATTATTATTAATTCAACTCTACCGCACTTGAGATTTGAACCCACGACCACTGAGTTGCTAGTCGAGAGTCTTGCCTACTCGGCCACTAAGGCGGATCTAACATTTTTTTTAAAAAATAGTTGCGTGTATGGGTGTGTGTTTCCTTCTCATTTTTTAGTGCTTAAACATATTCTTTCATATCCATATTCTTAGTAATTTCCTCATATATGATTAATCTACGCAGGAAAGAGTAGAAACTACGCGAAGTAGACGCAACTATTAACATTTGTTCACAAAGACGCCTTATAGTGTAAACATTTTTAAAACCGGACAAGGTTTTATACGCCATTTTGAGTTTTACTTTTCTCTTTTTTCAATGCGTTTTCTATGTTTATTCGCAAACCACTTTATATCTATAAACTGTTCCCGCATCCGTAAAGAAGTGATGTGTGATGAGTACACTCACTTTCACAAGCGGTCGCAATAGCATTCAGTCTTAAGCCATACTAAACTACATTTGGAAAAGTAAAACTCATTTAGAAGATTTACCGGGGATAACCTTATTTTCATCAAAAAAATCGATTAAAAGCAATTTTGTAGTAAGAAAATTCGCCAATCAGTTTTACAGAATATAAACAAAAAAAAAAAACGCAATGAAGAAATGCTTGAAATCTTGAGAAAAGTTTTAGTCGTTTTCAATTGAAATTACTTTTTACCTTCAAACAGCGAGGTTTTGAAAAATCCTAATAACATTTAATTTAAACTTAAATTGCTTCTGCTTCTGCTATACGTTTCATCTCGCACTTACTCGCACTGATTTTCTATCGACATTTGAGTATTAACTTTTTAAAGGTTTCAACAGAAATAAAGTGCATTTAATTAATATTGCTCTGGAATGTGTAACAATTAACAAACCTTGTGTATTTGCAAAAAAAAAAAAAAAAAAATAAAAATAAAATTTAATACAAACTGAATTAAAGATGATTTGATGGATTTCTAAATATTTGTTATTATAATTTTTGTATGAAAGCAAATTAGTGCTAGAGCAAATTTAACAAATGCAAAGCAATATGAAAACTTTTTGACTTAATTTGTCAAATATTTGCATTAGGTTTTCTTCATGGGTTTGCTTATGTCTTATGTCTTACTTTCTTTCTTTTTTCCGTACTTTGTCCATAGAGTAATGCATAACTTAACTTCAAAACCAATGTCAGCCGTTATAAGACTTTAATCTTTCAAATGCAAAGAGGGGGGAGTGAAACACGGGGTCCGGCATGATACCGAGTAGACAGTGCATAGAAAGTTTCTTCCTGACACAGCGTAACTAAGATTAAAAGATGAAAAAAAAAAAAAAAAAAAAAAAATATTAGAATACTTTGACGCAACCATTCGTGGCATATGTAACTCTCGGACATCGCCTGTCTTCACACAATTCACTTATTTTTGTTCTTGTTGTTTTAGTTCTAGTTGTTTGTGTAGGACAGTAAGTTGTCGTGTTACTGGACATGGTAAAGCATGTGCAGGCCAACATTTTATCTTTTTTTTTTTTTTTTTTTTTTTTTTGATTCTTCATCAACTTTTCTAGTTTTATTAACTCTTCAATGGCAAAGCGGGACAAGAGTTATGAAGTTGTAGTGTAGAGATGATTTCAAAACGTTGCATAATTGTTCTAGATGTTAGTTTGACTTACGGTTGGTTATATTTTCTTATTTTTGCCTACTATGTGCATGTGTTGAAGTAATGAGAGGACAAAGTTTTTGCATTTAACATGAAATTCTGATTTAAGATCAGTCAACTGTTTGCTGCGTCCATTCACTCATTCACGCCTGGCTTTTAAAGTTCATTTGCAAAGTTTGCCAAAAACTTTCAAGTTGTCAAATGTTCGCACTTCAAATAAAATTCTAGGCATTGAAGGATTTTAGGAAGTTTTTAAACGAATATACGAATGTTTGTAAAAAATATTAAAAAAAAAAAAAAAAAATAGGGGAAAATTAATATTTCAATTTTTCGAGAACCAGCCGCACACAGAAAATGTGAGTAAAATCATTCAATCGTATTGTTTGTAAGGCTTGAAACTAAGCTTACCGCAATGACATGTTGCGTGCTCCTTTCAGCAGAAACTTACTTACTTTGTTTGAAGTTTTCATATTACGGTAGAAATGAAACTCACTTTTTGTATAAGAAGAAGAAGACTAACTGAAATTATTCGCTTCTTATACACATCATATTCCAACAGAAACCGTTTTCAATAAATCTAGACTAAGTCCTCCAATGTCGTCTTTCCTATAAACCCTAACCGGACCGGGCACGATGTACCTTTGCATCTGATTTGAACTTTGAACTCAAACTTTTTGATTATTCCATGTCATGCTTTCATATATGACCTGCTTATGATATATATATATATATAGCTTGCCTGGCTAGATCAATGAATTTAAACTACGACCAAAAGCAATAAAATTTTAATTATTTCCACAATTCTTACGAATGATTAACAATCACATCATGGCATGATTCATAATGAAAGCACTTGGTATGATTAAGTTTAAAATTGAAAACGTGAGACTTAAAATTGCAACTGACCTTTTTTCGTGATCGGTTTTAGTGTCCATCTGGGAAAAGCAAAAATTATGTCTCGAGAAAATAAATTCTTCGAGACCATTGCTAAATTTGCTGCCGGGAGAGGAGGGCTGGCTTTGCGTAACATCGTTTTGCGAAGATTTTAATCCTAAATCATTGGTTAGTTATGCAAGCTTTAAGTTTTTACATTTATTACTTACTTAACTTAATTTAATCTAATTTGTTTCTTTCTTGTGGGTGATAATTTTCAATTGCTGGTAATTCCGTTTAATTTTCACCCAATTGAATTGATGAAACTCTCATTACATTTACTGCCAACAAAATAAAGCTGATGATGATGCATTTTCTTTCACTAGCATGTGATGTGATATCGTTGAGGTTTTTGAATGGCAGACGACATACACTGATACAATTCAATATTTGAAGTCTCAGTCGCCTATCGTATCATTGTAGTGGTGTTATGCTCCTACATTCCGCCCGATCCATTCATACATTTAATTGGATGACATTTCATTACATTTGCGGTTTTGTTCGTTCTTTGGACAAAAGATGCCGAATCCATATATCTCTTATAGTAGCTGTGCCCAGTATATACTGTAGTGGTAAATTTAAATTGCTGAAGCTAGCTTATGCTAGAATGGATGGATGTACGTGTTCATGTACGAATAGCGAATTTCTTTCTCTTTTGTTTTTTTTTCCTTTTTTGCTTTTTTTTTTTTTTGTTTTATGTTCGTTTTTGCCCTCATCCCACTTTAAGTGATACATTTACGTTGTTGTCAGTGTTAGTATTGTTGTTGTTCTTAAACTGTTGTAATCCCGTTTTCTTGCTTATTGTCCGTAAGCCATTGTCAATTGTGGCGACAATTTCAATAAAGAAACGTAAATACTCTTAAAATGTGTTCATTTCATTTTCTTTTTCCTTGTCGCTCGATGATTTCTACTTGAAGATCCATATGTATCTACTAGCAAACAACAAACAGTATATGCATGTATGTGCGCAATAATTCTTATTCTTTTGTAGCTTTTGTTTGCTTCTCAAAGATGCGAACTACAGTGGCTGTTGCTATTATTATATATACGAGCTATTACAGCTTCGATATATGAGGCAATCATTGCGGTCAGCACTTTTTTTTTTTTTTTATCCCCCAATAGAAAGCTCTATTAACTTTCTTATTTTGTTTATAACGCTAACGAACAGGGGCAACAGGGTGCCCATGAGCTTTTCTTGCAAAATGTTCCAGACTCAAGAAGACAATAATTAATTATGATGCGCTTTAATATGAACAAGTCCGCAGATGACTTGGAATAATGTTTGTTCTTTCCACTTTATAATGAAGTGACTACAAACTTTTAGAAGGTGCACTTTTTTGAATGCAGGGAAGACCTATATTTGCTTTTTGACACTGGAACTACATTTTCAGCTTCAAAAGCATGGTTATAAACCATGTAATCTTCCCAAACTTTTGGATAGTTTTTATTTGTATAAAAACACTTTTAGATTTCCATAATCTTTCTTTTGCTATCTAATTTAGTATTCGAGTATATCTATGTCTGCCAAAGTGAATCAATTTGATTTTGTTTTTTTCGGATGGCCGAGTTACAAAAATGCAAGCACAAAGCTGCTATTTGATACTTCTATCCATATCTAAGCGATTACAAAGCCCAAGTTAAGATAACTGTGGTCTTCTGACCATCCCTGCTCACAAATAAGGGGTACTTGAAAAAGCCTCAAAAAATTACCTGCTTCTTTCTCGTCTTTTTCTTTTTCTCCCCCTTATCTTCGTTGTCATCATATTCACTCCCTTTTTCTTCCTCTTCACATACATACATTTCTTTCAGCCTTCGATAAGAGAAAATCATGAAGTTGCGTACATGATCAAGTGGCTCGCAAATACAACGTAAAAATAGGATCATGTAAGTAGGGCTTTTTGATTTTTTCATTTGGCAGTAATCATGTCTTGTCTGCTATCCTCAAAATTTACTGATGTAAGTATATGAGTAGAGAGCTAGCTATTCTTATTGCAATTGGCAAAAGAAGTTGCTAGTAAGACACAGAAAATCGTTTCGCGAGAACAAAGACTCAAAACATTGGACTACTTCCTATGGAAGATTAGAGAGACCCTTCTGAATGCAAAAATCAACAAATTCTTTTACGTAAAGAAAATAGAGCGTTTTATGCTTGAGATAAATGTGAGTTTGTAGTACCCATTTATCATATAAGATATGCATAAAAAACACGTGCCTCATAACTATAGCTAATATAAGAAAATAAAAGTGAATATTCGTTTTCGTAAATGGCGTTATTTCATTTACAACATAACATTGAAAGATACAAAGGGTACAAAGCATTCATAATCGGTGTACATGCTTCAGTTTTGCGGCTATAGGAAATCCTACAAAAAAGATGAATCAAATTCGCGCCACTTTAGTAGGTTTCAACGTTAATAGGGGTTTTCTAAGTCTCATCTTTAACTGTTGTCGTCTAGTGTAAGTCCCACTTCAATTTGCTCTTGCTCACGAGACGAGAAGATTACAAAGACATTTCCAAACCTCAAAGAGATGTACGTATTATCTTTCGGAAATGCAGAAAATTAGGTTAAAGGCATTTGGTGTTGCTCTCCTTTTGTCAAACCTTGTCTTTGTATCTTTTACGAAAATATTTAGCAAAAGAATTTTTATTCCAATATCCTCTTTCGCAAAATCAAATGGGGAGCATTCTTCGCACAAGTTTAAAAAGGATCCGGAATTGTAGTGATGCGTGATAGCTAGAACTAATTGCGTTCGCTTTCGAGTCTCATGATTATGCTGCAAAAATCAAATTTAGTTAAGTTTTATCTCGAACGGTTTGTAATTAACCAAACCTTAATCATACATAGCTTTGTATGCGGCATCTGCATACTATCGCAGCCACGATGTATGAAGATAAATTTTGATGCTTTCAGTTATTTTACGAAATTACTTGACTCTTGCCGTTTGTACATGCATTTGTGAAAGTATCATTACATTTTCGTATTAAGGCTCTAGGATTAAATCCAAATGTGTATGTATTCAAATTTTGCTTTGCACCCAAGCTTTTGCATCTTTAAAATTTTCAATAGCGAAGAGGTGCACTACTAACACAAACAAATGGAAATGATGATGTGAATGCAATATCTAAACTCCAAGAGTAATATGTGGAATTTCTAGAGCAACATGACGTAATTTTCATTTGCTTATTTGTAATGATAGCTATGATATGAACAATTGTCTTCCTCCCCAATCTGCAATTGTGGACAAATTCTCACCATAAAGCACAATCCCTGTGACTGCCTAAACTTTCTCTTGGCTAGAAGTATTGCATTTGAAGCGACTAATCCTATGGACATTCTACAATTAACTACAGAACAGCATATCAATACAATATATTACTTTCTTAAACCTGCTAGGCTCAATATCTCGTGTACTTTTATAAATTAGAGCCGATATCGTGTGTTGCTAGCGCTCAATGTCTTTTTTTTTTAGTCTAAGAATTTATTTCATTAGTCTAAAGTTATAATAATAATAATAGTAATAATAATATCACTGAACAAAATTGTGAAATGAAAATATCGTAAACGATTCTGAAGTTAAAGGTCTACACATTGAAGCAATGACCAACTAATAACAGTGTTGGGATTTCGGCGAGAACTCTTTAAAACATCTCGTATACTACTTTTTTAGTTTCTTATACTTTACATCCGTTTTGAGTATAGGTTGTATTAAGTTTGTGGGCATATACACAGCAACCAGAAGGACGGAAGAAAGGAACCCATTTCTATTGTATCGAATGACTTTGTAAGTCGATCTGCCTATTTGTCTGCCCAGGACCAGCAACATATTTTGTGCGTTGCCAAAAATGATCTCGATCGGACTGCTTTTTCGGCCATTTCGTATAGGATGGCTTTATTTTGAAAAGTAACTTTAAACCATATAAGGTGTTATGAAAGCGGTCTTGGGTATGTAATGGACGGCAGCGGCTCATTATACTGATGTTTATAATTTTTATTTATATTAATGTTTTTTCAATCTATACAAACCATAAAATACTAATAGAAAAATATATGTTTGTACCTTATAAAATCTATTGACAATATTCTATTGACAAAGGACAATTTCATCTGATTGGATAAACACACACACGACCGCGATTCTGCCGAAGAAGATCATGCAAGAAAGAGTTCTGCCCGTAATCCAATGGAAAGTGCGTCGTGCTTAGTAAGAGCAATGTTTCTTTGTGCAATCTGACCTCTGGAGACACGGCAAGTTACTCTATCTAGCTTCTGCTATACACAACCCAAGCCACGCTTGCTATTTGGATTTTTCATACGGCCCCGAAGGCCAACCAGCCTTCGCAAGGAAAAATGATTCAGAAGAAAATATTAGCTCAGCATATACCCACTGCTTCTTTGCGGTACCATAATAGAGAACTATAAAGGAGCAAACATATGCCGCCTATTCATAAAACAAAAGAGCAACTTGTCCCGATGCTCCTCTTAGAGATCGATGCGTTCTCAGTTAATACATAATTCCTTACCGATAACTACTTAGTTCTGAAAATTAAGAACGTCTAAGTAAATAGTTGCGTGTTAGATAACATACAAGGCAATATTTGTTTTCTTATAACATTCTGGTCGATTACTTGGAATTGCTTAGAATGTTTTCTTCTTCTTTTTTTTTTTTTTTTTGCTAATAGCCTCTCATTTGCTCCTCCACAAATGCCTGAATGTTATTTTATATGTCTGAAGATTTCCATTGTCTAAACGAGATAGATGTTTTGCTATGAGATTTGTTGCTTCTCCACTTTGGAATTTTTCAATTAAATTAACTGCAATAAACGGTATAAATTCGTATGCGACAACTAGCCTGAAGGTTTACATATATATATATATAATAAAACACATATTTGTTTTCTACATCATCATCATCATCATTTGAAGCGTTTCTTAGTAGTATTTCTTTTTGTCGTAAATTTATGCTCTTGTACTTGTTATTGTTATTAGTATTGCACTCTAATTGAGAATATCCGTTGTCAAGTATGGCGATTGTCATTTAAAGTCATGAAAAGTAATCGTTTAAGTAAACGACTGCATAAATATACGAATGAATGTTTGACTATTTGCATGGATATCCATGTGCATGAGTTCTCCTATAATTTGATGAATAGAGTAAGTCAATTTTTTTTAAATAACTTAAAAAAGAGTAAATTTAGCAGTGAATCGCGCTTTTAAACCTCACACAGGCGAACTCAACAGATCTCAATATTACCATCTGGGCATTTGATTTGTTATAGACCAATTGTTAAAAATAATTTTGTAACAATTTTTTTTATTATTCACCACTTTACCAATTTTACCGATGTGCTACATCTTTATGCTATTCTTCAAAGCTTACAAAACATAGCAGCAGGGCACAAGCAGAACACATTATGCTGATACGCAACATAGTCTCGAAAATAATTCTATGAAAAAGAAAAACTACAAACACCGATACAAACAAATCCACCAATATTAACTGTTCTCGCAACGTAGTACTTAATGGTAATCTCAGACGG